CCACAGACCCTTATATTTATATCAAGGAGTAACCCCCGCGTCGCCGTCCCCGCCCCCACCGCCCCACGGACGACAGATAGTTTTTTGACAAAGCCCCGATCAGAAAAAAAGCAAAATAACCAATCTTAAATTGTAGAGTACAAAAACATGGCTCAAAGAAGCCGAATACGACTGAACTAAACAAGGTTTAATCTACAAGAGCGACTTGCGGTTTTCTTTTCAAGAATGATTTATTTGCTCACACAGACGTTTCTCATTATCTTAATTTCAAAGAAAAAGTAAAGAATCCTGCCGCCACTGAGCAACAAATGAGTTTTATATAGACTTCTCCCGCTAGTATTTGATTTTAAATATATTCATAGATAAAACTAATGTCTTAAACATGCATTTACTTTACATTTGAAGATAAATCTTGTAAATAAATGTCATTTATTATTATTATTTTACATTTTGTCCTTTTGATTTACTTCTTCTAGGGCGCTCTTGTTTAGTTTGAGATGAATTTATCCCAGTAAAAACATCTCTAAATTTCAAGTCTATTTTACGATCCTTTGTATGTCACATAACCGATTCTCTTTCACCTTGCAAAATTAACCGTTCATCCGCGATGTGAACGACTTCACCAAAGTTAACTCTCACTTTTCTCGTGGCCTGCGGCAAAACATTAACACGATCATCATTCTTCTGATCGATATCCTTTTCGTGTTCTTCAATAAGGTGAAACATTTTGGGTGCATTTTCGGAACAAAGCGCGCGGTCGAAGTTTCTCGCTTCGAACTTTGGAATTAATTCCTGGCGCCAGTAATTGTTCCAAAACTCTCTTCTCATCGTGTAATGCTTATGTGGTGAAAAACCACCTTGTTTTGTATTTGGTGCCCGTTTCTTTTTGCGGCGCGTTTTTTCCCGGTAAGGTTTGGTCTGTTTGCGGGTTTTATCGCTATTTTCTTCTCGTTCCGAAGTCCTGACGCATGAAACGAGTGCTTTAAACCCGTCACAGGGATTACGGAAAATGTCTTTGCAATAACGCCGGTGAAGAAATACGAAGATAAAAGGATTGATCGCGGAATTGGAGTACACCAAAATATAGCAAAAAACAATGATAGTATCAAAGTACTGATAATATTGTCCTGATCCAAAGTCATGCCATATCCACATGACGTGATTAGGGAGCATACACAGAGAAAACACGATCACAACAATCACAAAAATCTTGACAATCCTCATATTTCTGTGGGCCCTCGCTTGAGTCAATGGCTTTTTGACGTTGCCCTTTTTGTGGCCGCCAATTGCCTTTCTCATTCTTTGTATGTCCCTTAAGAGTTTCTGACTGATCTTGATGTAGCTTGCAGTGATCACGAACAACGGAAGCACATACAACACTATGAAAACTGCAAGCGTAAACACTTTGGGGTGGTATTCTCCCGGCCAATTCTCCGTGCACTTTGCTTTTCCGTCCTCAATCTTGACCCTGAGGATGGCTATGAAAGGTCCAACCAGACTAACACACGCGATCCACAGCATAAGAATGATTGCAAACGCACGCTTGGCCTTCAGTTTTGGTTTTAACGGAGGCATCACAGAGCGATGCCTCTCCCAGCTCATGAAGAGCAAGGTATAAACAGACACCGCCATTAGGATAGTTTGTAATGGGTACACGGTTTTGCAGAGAACGGTTCCAAATGGCCATTGCTTGGCTAGAATCTCTATAAAGTCAAAAGGTACGCTGACTACGCACGTACCCAAATCAGTGGCAGCCAAGTTAAGAATAAAAACATCGGTGATACGAAGATGCCTTCTTTTGAAAACAGCAAAGCATATTAACACGTTTCCTATCAGGCCTGCAAACGAAATGATGGGAAAGCACATGAGTTGAATGATAGCAAGTCGATCAAATCCTTCTGCGAACTCTGTGCTGTTCGAGATCGGAGCCAAAGGGTCCTTTGCGGTTATGTTTTGGGTTTGACTGCCATTAAGGTTCGAAAAATTCGTTGCACGCATGGTAGTAGGCTTTCTTTCCCAGGGGTAATTATAACGCTGGCTTATTTCTTCTGTTTCATCAAACCAAGGATTGTAATGGTCAGTGATTGAAGAATGAGAGGCAGCTCTCACATTTAGATTGTCTTTATCTTGATGTGAAAATAAATGCCTGTCGGCCATCTGTCTCCGGCTTGAAAAGCAATCGGCATACCATTATAATGCCGGGCGTGCGACGGGCGAATTATACAACACAAAAGCTAAATAAATGTGTTTTGAAACACCCTGCAATTATATTTATATATTCAGCACCGCAAATAACTACCAAAGCCATGCAACGTTCGTCAAATAACAGCGGAATAACCCTTTAGACCCAGTTGATTTTTTTAAGGAGAAAAGTGCTACAAATTCTACTTGGAAACGTTTTCTGATACACCAGATAAAAGGCAGATAATCTTTCCAACGAAGACGTACATGGTTAGAATAACGTTAAAATATTGTTTATTAAACAAGCATCAGATTCAGGCTCTCTCTAATTTAGCTCTTTAATTTTTCTTATTATGTTCAATAAAAAAGTCCCATCCTTTTTTCCGGCTACCTTAAATATCTGTGAAACCTACACAGCACGGTTTCGATCTCTGCTACTTTTTTTGGCAACTCCATACGAATAAAAAAAAAGACAATGCGAAGAATAGACATTTCAATTCATATTTTGTCATTGAAGTTGTCTCTACTAGTAATTGTACAGGTGCCATGTACTTGGAAACTATTCTTTTCCGAAGTAAGAGATGTTTTATTAATTCGTCTTCAGGTTATGGTAATTACTTTGAATTCATATCCATCTGCCTCGGATATGAGCTGACGTTAAGACATCTCTAATCATCCGAACCTACTCTTTTAGAAAAAGAACGAAAAGCAAATTACATGAAATGTCTTTATTTAACAATTTCTCGCGGACTCGAAATACAAATATGTTAAGAAATAGTTAGCTTTCGAAAGTGACCGGATTAACAGTATGTTCTCTTTATTCACAGTATTTTAAAAGACAGCGCTACATAATACATGACTTATTGGCTTGGTGGAAATAAAGTAATTACAAGATTGCCATGGGTAAGCGCTTGCCAGGCATCTTCTTAAATAACAAGCACTAATCACAAACAAAAAAAACCTTTGCCTCATGCTATCCTAATAATCGCAGCAATAACGAAAACATGTTTAGTATGGTTTTCTCTCTCTTGCCCTCCCCAACGTGGCATCTCGTTTAACCATGCTAAAGCTTTATAAACTACCGTAAAATTCCGAAAATAAGCTCCGGAGCCTATATTTTTCAAAGGCCCTTTTTGAGGGGCTTATTTTTGGAGGGGCTTATATTCGGAGGGGCTTATCTACGGAGGGAAATTTGCGTCTCAAAATCGATTGGGCAAGCCTTATAGTTGGAAGTAAATTTACCGTTTTTGCTTTGTTTACTTTGTATCTGAGGGCAATTTTCCAATTACAAGCCCCCAGGGGCATATATTTGGAGGGGCGATTTAACGGAGGGTTTTTTACGTTACGGGTTTGAGGGGCTTATACATGGAGAAGCTTATTTTCGAAATTTTACAGAAATCTTTGCACTCGCTGGATCGATGGTTAAAGGTTATGTCACATGGTAATTCAGGGGCCAAACAAGAGAGACAATTTACCGATAGGTGTAATCGCAGTCCAGTTTGCTTATTCTATCAAAACGTGACGGCGATTTAATAGTCATTCAAAATGAACGGTTCGAATTTTGACAAGATTTACGTTCTTTTTGTTTGTTGTGAGAACAACTACGGTCGCTACTGCATCCAAAAAGTAACAATGATCACCTCCACCCATAATTTGCTATAATTGTCTTTAAGATGAAGATTGCTTCATTTTCTGTTGTCTAGAATAAGAAAACTCGACCGCGATTTCTTGCACTGGCAAATTTTCTTCCCTTTTTTGCCCCTGAGAAACCACACGAAAGTTCTTTAATCCCGTCAGTCCTTAAAAGATGGCGAGTATCGATCGTGAATAAGGTCTATTCTTCTATTTTCGAATCCCCCATAACACACCTTGTATACCCCCAAATTTTGCACAAACAATTGTTCTCATAAGCTCCTGGAAGGAATGCATATTCCTTGGGCATTTGAAAACAACAACTTACGCAAAATGTGGGGGGCAAACAGAGTGTTTTGTGGGGGATTCAAAAAAAGTCAATGGTATCCAGTAGATTATCAGTGCCGGATCCTAAAGTGCAATCGCTGGAAATTAAATGATTATAGTGTTGAAGGAAGAATGGTAGTGTTGATAATACAAAATTAAAGCCAGTACACGCACCAATATTCCCATCAAGGAAGAGTGGACATTAGACCAACAGACATGGAAAGGGAAAAGGGCTAGGTTTCTTATGGTACATTATCGGGTATACCAATAAACTGACTTAGATTGCCGCCCCACTGCAATGGTTGTTGTTAATCTAATTATACCAAGACCAAGTACGGGTAGTAAATCGACGGAGGTAGATAAGTTTTTGTGCCTTCAGTGTTCAGGTCATTCAAAATAACATTCTTGGGACAGCAAATATATAAAATATTTAGCACGTATTGGAATCTTGTGCCACATGGCACTGCTGTTAATTAGTAGAAAGCTTAAGCAAAAACGACGGACGGCAACGGCTTCAAAAACGTCACTTAAAAAGTGAACTGGCGCTGCTTCAAACTTTATCGCGCTTATTCCATCTCGTTCAATTCGTCAAATGTTGGCAGTCTTTTCTGGAGCTGAATTCTAAGAGAATGTATCGAAGGTCAGGAAAAGAAAAAGAAAGTCAATGTCTTGTCTTTACGTCCTCCAAAAAGACGTGAAATTTTCATGTCGTCGCTGTGCAGTGACGGCAAAAAAAATGTACAAAACAGCATGATGCAAAGTTATTGCTTTGTTTATCTGAACCTATTTCGTTTTTGACGTTCTCGTTGACGTCGCCTTCGTCGTTTTTGAAGCTCCCTTGTAAATAGTCATGACAATTTTTAAGACGTTTTTAACAGTTGTTTCAATGATATGGCCTTATGTTTCGAAACATCACAGTTCTTAAACCATGGCTCAATCACAACTGCACCAGGATCATCTTCCCAGTCTTGCACATCATCAAGAAGTTCTTCCATTTGTATTCCGGAAGCAGCACTTTGGAGACATGTTTTGATATCCTCGGGGCTGGTAACCCTTATCTCAAGCACGTGACAAGTGAAACCAAAAGCGGCTGCGAGGTACTTGAACACAGCATACTGCTGACAGTTGCTATGGACACCATCCACAACAACAAAATGACGATCCGTAACCATGGCATCCATAAAACAAGATCGACAGTAAGCCTCAGCTATATTTAGTTCAGCAGCATCAAGGGGAGAACCACCAGCCTTGTGGAACAACTGCCTGGCACTGCAACAGACAAATCCTTGGCGATCTCCAACAGCTTCCACTGAATTCTCAACAAGATGTGTTTTTCCACTTCCCGGAATACCTCTCATTATCAAAACTATTTTATTCTCAGATTGATTGTTTAGTTCGGTTAATCTTCGAAACCCCCTTTCTACATTTGTGGCACCTACCGATTGAATGAGCTCTTGAATTTCGTTTCTCTCATCATCACAGAGTTGGCCCCTTTCGAATAAATAGTTTAAGCGCTGAAGAAGTTTTTTGGGCAGGGTAGAAGAGAGAGACTTCAGGGAGTTTTCTACAGCTAATATTTTATGGTAAGAACCATCAACATCCCTTGGAAGAAATCTCGAGAAGAGAACGAGAGAATGCACACTTTGCTCTCCAATTTCATGGCTGGCTTTGACTAAATTTGACAGTTTTTTCTGAATTTCATCACTGACCAGAAAATCATTACAAGTTCCTTTCATGACTGTCACGTGTGGAACAAAATCACTTCTGTTTCCTTCCAAACCTATCCCAGCCCTGCTGAACTTCAACTTCAAGAATTGCACAAGTTTGAACAATCCTTCCTCAGGCTCCAAACTGGCGTATAAAACTCTACCATCGAACTGTCCAAGGCCATTAAATCGCAGTTTGTGGCTCAGGGGAAGAATGGACACCAGTACGGGCTGTACTGACTTGAGGATACTTTTGGCAGTTGTAACATCATCTTCACTCTCCAAAGTCAACATTAGCAATGTAAGATGCAGTCTTTGGCTTGGAATTAACTTGAACTGCCCTTCAGGTGCTATTTCTGGTTGGATCATATTTTGGATCTGTCACCAAAAAATCAGTTTTTCTTAGACTATGAGAAGTCAACTATTTTAGGGAAGAAAACTGCTCAGGGAGTAGCCTGTGTACATACCCCCCCCCGCCCCGATTTTTCCTGAGGGGAGGGGGTCTGTACACAAGCTACCAGGGGGCAAGGTTCGTACAGATTGTTTTTTGGATCCAAAATTCAAGACTTTTTCCAGAAGTTTTTCCAGAACAATAATTTTTTTTCCAGACTCAAGGTTATCAAATAGTTGATCAACAGAGACCTTAAAAAACACAGGAACCATTCTTTTTTCATGACGCGCTGCAAACGTATGAGCGAGATTAAATACGATTTGACCAAAACGATGAAAAAATTCACTTACTGAGCACCTGTTGTAGCGTTGAAAAACAAATCTCAAGACCTTTCACCATTTTTCCAGAACTTCATCCAAACTTTTTCCAAGTCTGAAAAATTGCTGGGCAAATTTCAAGACTTTTTCAATAATTCAAGACTCTGTGCGAACCCTGGGAAGGTGATGTTACGCTGGCCCCGAAAACGCGTTGCAGGAAGCAAGTTGCCCTGCACTTGCATGCTGTGCTAACTTTATCATATGTACTACTACATAACTACCTGAAATCCTCTATTAAGACCCCTCTGTCAAATAGGCCACCCCCTCTGTAATATGCACCCCTCCCCTCCCCCTTGTTATTCTTCACTAATAAATGAAAGACCGTGTAAACTTGGATTGGTTTTTGATCCTCAGCTGCATGACCTTCTACTTCTTGTACTTGAGCTTTTACTTATTTACAGATATCTGACACCACCATGTTCGCTAAATTACAGTAAATAAGCCAACCTTCTAAAATAAGCCCCTGTCTCTATTAAGCCCCCAATGTGTTTGAAATAAACAAGACCCCTGGGGATTTAATAGAGGATTTACGGTATCACAGTCACTATTGAATAACTAGACCAGGATGGCTGTGACTGTGACTGCCAAACAGCAGGAGTGGTGGTTGTGCTGGGGACTTAGGTACTGGTATGTAAAGATGTGCCATCCAGGCCTCAATAATGATACAGTCGAACCTCCTGTAAGCGACCAACAAAAATGCAAAGACAGGTGGTCGCTTACAGGAGGTGGTTGTTTACAAGAATCGAAACACAGGGTGTTTCTTCCGAAAAGAGGTCCAGGCACATCTCCTTTATGGGAGATAATTTATTGCATGAAATTGTCTAAGTCAGGATATGTGTAGTTCCATATTGTCACTAAACTTCTTGGTATTATTCTAAGTAACATAGTGCACCCAGCGAAAATAGAGATCAGAGAATGCATCAAGTGGTCGCTTACAAGAGGTTAAAAACAATGGAAAATCATTAACCATCAAGCCCAAAAAGTGGTCGCGGTCGCTTACAAGAGGTGGTTGTTTACTAGAGGTTCCAGCTACTGTAAGGCTTTGACTGGGAAAATTTTGTTGTTTTGGATTGGCAATCACTTATGGGAGACAGTCGCTTATGAGAGGTGGTCACACATGGAGCTTAGACTGTATCATTGATAATAATTTAATGAAGAAAAGGAAAATCATATTTAAGGAACTACGGAGTGAAGAAGAGATAGTGCAAGATGACTGAGGACGAGTCAGTGACTGCACTGATCTTCTTTTATTTAATAATAATAATAATATTTGATAAAATACTACTAATAAAATTATCAAAACTATCAATATTGTTAACTGAATTATTACTATTATTTCATTGCCCATGTTTGGAAGTTTTGTGTATTTTAAATATAAAACCCCATTTCAACAAATTAGCCCAGGCAGTCAAAATGTTTTACAAAAGTGGGCAAGATAACCACAGACAAAAGGTGGCAAAGGTGCACATTTGTGTGGTTTATGTTTAGTATTACTAAAAATAAGTGTTGAGTAGGTGGCAACTATTACACCAGAAATGGCAAAATTGCCCGCTGCCAGATTACATGTATTTTCCCTGGGCTAAAAAAATTTTGAATACTTTGCTTTGAAACACAGATCAAGTGATAGATAAACTCAAAGATTTTTAAGAGAATACTCCACCACAGACAAAAATGTTTGGACATTAAAGTCTTACAGACAGTGTTCTCCAGAGATTTAGCAAAGGTGCACATTAATTTGTGTGGTTTTTGTTTAGTATTACTAAAAATAAGTGTTGAGTAGGTGGCAACTATTGCACCAGAAAAGGCAAAACTGCCTGTTGCCAGATTACATGTATTTTGCCTGGGTTGAAAAAAATAATCTTGAATACTTTGCTTTGAAACACAGATCAAGTGGTAGATAAACTCAAAGATTTTTAACAGAATACTCCACCACAGACAAAAATGTTTGGACCTTAAAGTCTTACAGACAGTGTTCTCCAGTATTTTTTGAGTAGCTAGCTGCCAAATAAAGTAGCATCAGGCAATCCAGCACTGAAAGGGTGCAACCCCCTAGGGAGGTCTGGAGGTATGCTCTGCCTGAATTTTTTTTTAAAATAGGGCCTGGAGATGCAATCTGGTGCATTTTGAGGTTTATACAAAGAACAGGAAAACTGCAATTAAGGCAATAACACAGCAATACATTTCTAGGTAAGTATATTAAAACAATGAATAAAAGACACAGGAGATTTCAACAGCCATAAGTAAAGTAAGATTCACAGCAAAATGTTTTCACCCTGTTAATCCTCCCTACTGGATTCCTCAGACATTCCCTAGCCACAACCATTACCTACCCTACCAGCTGATGGAAGGGGTTTAATAATATCATTATTTAGCAACTAATGCACAGTAATAACAGACTATCTGTTTACCTACCTTAGTAATGCTGTTGATAACCTCAGAGTCTGAAATCTGTACAGCAATGAAATAATTTGGACCTTTTTCCTCACGAAGTTGTTTGGGGAGAACAGGCACAGTGTAACTTGATTCATCTGCTTCAGAAAACTCGTTCACATCGTTAAAACTACTATTATCTTCATTTGTGGTCGATCCTCTGAATCTCTCTTTCACATCTAAAATAGTCTCTTTGCTTCCTGTAGAGCCAAAGACTTTATCAATACGTTCCCTTTTGTCCCACACTATTTCTCCAAGGTACTTAAAGTACTGGATTCTGTGTCGAGGTATGGCAAGATCAACAAAATGATCAACTGAAGCAAGGTCTTCCCATGAGAACTCTCCGAAACCTTTTTCCATGATTCCAGTGAAACGATCTAGGTAACCAACCACGAAGTCTTTTGGCTGCAGCTCATCATCCCAAATAATTCTTGATATGACATCACTGGCTGTTTTCATTGGAGGTTTCTTTTTAGAGGGGCAAGACTCCTTCTGGATATTTCTGTTCACTGACCTTTCAGATGATGTTAATGCTATGTGAGACGTTTTTTCTTTATCAGTTGTTGTTAATAATTTTGCAGTGTTTTCACATGTGATTTGTGAGTGCAGTGATTCATCTACTTTTTCAGTCTTAGAACTTCTTGTCCCCTCATGTTTGTTACGGCACTTGCTTCCAAATCTACATTTTCCTTCCAAGAAAAATTTGCAGGTGTTTTCTACATTTTCTGATGGGCTTTCCTCTGCTTGTGAAGGGTTAAGTTCAGTGACTTTTTGCTTCTGTATCCAGGATGTAGCTTCTTCTACAAGATTGTAAATCATAACCTCCCCTTTCTGTCCCTCCGCACTGCTGTAAAGCAGAGACTCAAGTTCTGTATAAACTGGTTGACCACCTTGTGTTATGCTGATGGATGGAGGTACCTCTGGATATTTCTCTTGAATAATATACAATAATAAAAAATTTAATATTGAATATCAACAAATTGACTACAGCAAACACGAAATATTGTACATGGTTTATGTCAACTAAAACAATGCACTCATTATGCCTCTCTGATCCAAATCTTGACCAGATATCAAATATCAGGTTCAGTCCCAGCTACATGCAAGCCCTAGGATTTCACAGTAACAGTAGCTTCTCATACTGAACCATTACCATGTTTGAAAAACAATGGAACCGAAAACTGTTTCCTACAGCTGTTTTTATCCTGATCAAAATTCCTTGCATGTAAGTTTTGAGTAAATACTGAGGAATTTTTCCGAAAATTTTATCTTATTTGCAAATGAGTAAGAACATTGTTAACTTTCTTTATTAGCATCAAATTTAGCACATGTGAAATGCAACGTTTGAAACAGATCTATTTCCCTTCCACTCCTTGTGACCAAATCAGTTTTAATGGAGGCAAGGAAAGCAAAAGAAGAGGGGAGGAGAGAAAGTGAAAAGTACAAATCAAGACTGCTGTGTCACTGTTAAACCTAAAAATTTGCCTTCTGCGCATGCCCAAATTTTTGGAAGCTGATATTTTGCATCTGGAAAAGAGGGCCACAGATTGCTCACCTAACAAACAGCGTTTTGGGAAATTTTGGCCTCTTGTCACTTTTAAACCCTAAAACTACCTCAAAATTTTGCTTTCTGCACATGCATGAATATTTTGCATCTGAAAAAGGAAGACCACAGAGTACTGGACTTATCAACGGTGTTTTCGGCAGTTTTTGCTCATTAAAGCCAAACAATGACCAGAAAACAGCCTGACTCGCTTCCAAAGGCAATTCTTGGGCAAAATTCCCAGAAACGTGTGGGTTTAATAATATCAAAAGAACAGAAGGGGATTTCTCCCTCTGCAATAATTTTTTTCCTTACTTGGGTCTGTGAGATTTCCTGCACCCCGTGGTTCATCCCTAAAAAATCATGAATCACCAGCGTACTTAATTAAAGGCTTGAAAGGTCAGGGAAATCTTAGCGTTTCAAAGTGACGGGGATAATGAAAGGATTTGGGGAGGTTCAAACTTTATGATTTTGAGATTATTTGGGATAAAAAGTTTAGCAAATTAATTAAATATCGCTGAGTATGAAATGAAGAATTATACAGTTTAAGGAGGTTGATAACAAAAATGAAGAATAATACCTGGGATTGTAAAAATAAGGCTAATCTTGGTGTTTTCTTGCTTAACTTTCACTTCATAGAAGACAGGTTGATTATCTGCGCTTCCTCCTCCTGTAGTAAACTGTTCCCCGTAGATTGATTTCAGAGCTTCAACTTCCATTTGTTGTTCTTCTGTAGAGTAATCCATGTTCCTTGACTCACGAATGATGCTTCACAATATTGAAATATCCACAAACATCGCGTATTGAAGCGCCAAAGTGCAAATGTTGCGACCGATGGTGTAACTCGAGCGATATTAGTCCCAGGCCCCAAAAAAGTACCTAACACACAACACAACGGTAGGTACTTCATATATGATTCCTATAGTGTACCGATATATAGAGTGTAGTCTTTCTTCTTGTGTACCGAGGTACTTGGCTTACTTAGGTACTTGGCTTGCTTCAGTGGTTTGGCGTGCTTGAGTGTCTTGGCTTACTTTTGTGCCTCAGCCTACTTCAGTAACTTGGCGTGCTTGAGGTAACTGGCTTACTTAAATGTCTTGGCCTACTTCAGTGTCTTGGCCTACTTCAGTTCCTTGGCGTACTTGAGTGACTTGGCCTACTTCAGTTACTTGGCGTGCTTGAGTGTTAGCGTGCTTGAGGTACTTGGCTTACTTTTGTGTCTTGGCCTACTTCAGTAACTTGGCGTGCTCGAGTGTCTTGGCTTACTGTTGGGTCTTGGCCTACTTCAGTAACTTGGCGTGCTCGAGTGTCTTGGCTTACTTTTGTGTTTTGGATTGCTTGGATTGATTGGCACACTGACAGATAGAAACTCAGATACTACTTCTGGGTTATTCAGTCCGGATAATTACAAAAACAAAGATTGGAATATTCTCATCTCGTTTGCTTTGAAATATTAGAGCGTTTGTCAGCCGTGTAGAAAACACAATGTAAAATCGACGGACTCTTGATCCTGTTTGAACTACACTCGCGAAGAATTTAATGCGTGCACCGTATTTCCTCTAATAGCCGGCCCTCGAACAATCGCCCCCCTTCGATGGAAATATTTAAGATAATCGCCTCTCGACTAATCGCTTGTTAACCCTCTCGCCACCTTCTCTTTTTTTTATATCCCCTTTCTGTCTTGTGGAAGTGGATCCGATCCATCGAAACTGGTCAGTAATAATAATAATAATAATAATAACAATAGACCTATTGGGCTAACTCAATGTTGTACCCAATTCGAACCCTTGGGGGAATAAAACGTTTTGTTTCAGTAATTTCCATATCATTTAAATGTGAATGCCACATTATAATGCAAATACAAGACACAAAGAATCTTATCCCCGGGAGATTTGAATTGGGTACAACATTGAGTTAGAAGAATAGGTCTATTGATAACAAAGCTAACTATAAAATGCTATTTACAATTAATTTCGCTTAAAAAACTATTCACGCAACGCACGATTTACATTATTCCTTTTGATTAAAAAAAAGACACTTAATTTCGGTTCAAAAAATTCATTCCATTAAAAATATATCATATATTCGGAAAAAAAATTCCATTTAATAATAAAAGAACCGGTTCATTTCAACTAAACTAAATTATCGAGCTCACGTCATTATCACACACACTTGGGTAGCGTTTAAACGGCAGTCATCAATGAAATTCCCTTGTGGAAAGAAAGGGTCTATTCCCGGAAGTTAGCGCGTGCCCGAAGCACTGCCTCGCGTGAAAGAGTGGAGTCCTGATGATCTTGCTATTGTCTACTGTTCACTTGTCAGATTTGTACTTCAATCAGCCGTTGCTTTTACTAATTTCCCCAACTACCCCGCCAACATGCAATGACATAGAGAAAATCCAGAAGATCGATCGCGCTCTCCAATCAGGAGCCTATGACCTTTACTTCATACGAAGATGCGAGTGTCAATTTTGTTAAAAGAATTAGTCCTGACAACCAAATCTTCTCTTCAATTCAAAGCAGAATTGTTCACTCATCTTCGGCTTACTGTGCAATTAGCGTTTTAATTATAATTTTTTATGTTTAACTGACCTGTATCTCCAATTCAGCAAAAGGTGTCAATAAACAAGTCATTCATTCATTCAAAAATTGTAGGTCAAATGAGTCGACGTGGACGGGTGTATCGCTCGATACCCGACCTCTGATTTGCTACCACGTGACCAAAAATAGCCAATAAAATCACACGAAATCTGATCGGTGGGTCCCTGTACCTAGATATATTTGTTAATACTAGTTATTTTAAGTATAAATATAGTGCGCTCTTGTTATGTATTTAAGGGGGGAGGGGGTGGGAATTTTAAATTTGGGTTCGGAAATGAGGTAACCCATCCCTGCAATGGGAGTGAAATTTGCTAACCCACCCCTTGATCTTTGCCTAAAATATCATGACCGTCCCCCTCTTGTATAAATGATAAAATCTAGTTCTTGCAATACACTAGGGTGAGTCAGTATTATGAAAGCTCAAAATATATTTCTAATCTGTTCTTTGTAATGCCATATACATACATTTTAGATGACAGCATTAAGAGTCCGACTCTGATTCTGACAGCTGATCACTCAACTCTCCCATTTCTCCCAGTTTTTTTTTTACAAAATAAAGAACTTCTTTTTTGTTCTGTGCGTGAACCTCTACATGATGACGGACACATATTTGCATAACCCTCCCCCTTTTAACGGCCCATTTTTCATGACCCCTTCCTTTTCTACAGTCTCAAAAAGTTGTGACCCTCCCTCTGTTTCCACCCCCTCCCCCCCCACCTCCCCCTGCTAATTTCAGACAAGTCCCTAACGACTTTTTTTCCTCGAAGAAATTAGCTTACGTAAGCTACTCTGAAATTCGAGAGTAAATAAAGTTCAAGTGAAGCGACCACTGTCAGCACTGTGACCCCCTCTTTTTAATTCGTTTTTAATATCTCGTTACAGCAAGTAAATTTTTGATAGGTTCTATATTTAACAACTATTCCACGAATGCGTGCGCTTTGGATGTGAGATGGTACTTAGCCAACGAGGAGCGTGGCGTCGAGTTGGCTATAACCACCTCATATCCAACAAGCAGATCTTGAGCAGACGCGTGCAGTTACCATATTTGGAGAGCATTCAGAGCATGGTATAATGCCCCATGTACTATGAAGGCTAAGCCAATCATGACCGGAGCTCTAGCATTGCGTTATCCAGTGAATCAGTTTTTAATAAAAAGTTCCATCCAATGGTCTCAAGTAAATGGCATTTTGCATGGCCCAGTTGAGATTTCGGTGAAACGTCCATGTAAAATATCTAAAAGATTAGTGCTGGTCCAAAGAGCCATTGGTACAGCATTTATGATTGCTACTAAAATGTGGCGCTTCCATCTTCTTCTCCAAATAGCCATGACAGGCATGTTTTGATAACGAGTTTCAATCGCTAGAGAAACGCTGTTAAACACCCACTCAATCGCGAGGGAGACTGCGGTTTGAATTGCGAATGATTGGAGTAAATTAACGAAGGACTCGCCCTTTAGGTATACAAATTGATACAAGTACAAATATCCATTGACAGACACAATGGCAGTTGATTCATACAACATGCTCATAATGGCGATATCTGCCATAAGTCTTTCACGGCGAGGAGTACGAAAACTTCCCCAAGGTGCTGATTTCCTTTTCCGCAACATGTGACAAATGTGATCAATGAAAACCATTGTGCTTCGTTCAATCACTTCTGCAGCGCCGTGAATTATTCCCAGGATGGCAATGCTGTATAAGCTACCAAGATCAGCTTGCAAAACTCGAAAAACGATCGCATATCCACAATACAACGGCGATAATAATACGTAAGAATACCCCGGATGAGTGATGTTATACAACGTTTGAACACAAATACGGGAGGTAACCTTTACAACAACTCCCACTAGAGGGGCGAAAGTTGCAATCAATAGTTTTTTATCGACATCTGCTTTGTTATATGCCGGATAAATCAAGGAAGCCACAAGGAAAAAACTCAAGAAACTAAAACAGCTTGGTACAATCATTTTGAAGAACAACTTAGCCCTGATTTTTTTTCGTGAACTTGTACAAATACATCTGGTTAAAAAATGAACTTGCAAGCATTGATTGATAAGAAACAAAGCATTGAGAGGAATTTTCTCTGGATACGAAACGTAGGAATGAGATATCCCAAGAGCCTGGAGGGCAACACGATAAATGGTGTCCAGAAGATATGTAATAAGGCAAACAAAGAACAGTTTTCTTTTAACACCGCGTAACTGAAAGGGTCGAAAGAGAAAGTTTAAGAGTGCGAAGAACCAGATATATAGGAAAGCGCAGCCAACTACATCCGACATTGACCTCATCCATTGCACCTTTAGTGACGTTGAGTGTAGCGGGTAGTATTGACAGATGTGGATAGTTCTAAAGGATATATATGACACCAGCGTGTATATCATCCCTACAGGTAAAGATGTTAAAAGCGAAATCAAAGCTCCGAAGTACATTGATTTTAAAATAGTACGTTGAATGCAGGGTCTCAGACGCCGCCAAGCCACGGTTATGTCGTCATCTTGGTGTGTCCCCGGGGTGTTTGTGCTCTCTTCTATAGAACTTGCGTCGTGTATTTCGATATTAAAACTATAATTATAAGAGGCTAAATAGTCAAGGCTTGTTGCGTCTCTGTCGCTGTATTCTTGGTAAATAAGTTCCTCAACAGGATGAAGATACCACTCTCGTCCTGTGCTTTCTAGAGGACTGTATCCAAAAGATTCTTCAGTGAATTCCGGTTCGTCTGGATTATAGTGGTCCGTTACATCTCGAGTAAAACTGTAAAGAATGTGACCAAACACGTCTATTACTGTACTGCTGCTCATTTTCTTTCCTTGCACTGAATAACGACTCTGACGAAACCGAACTAAAATACTAATGAAGCGAAGGAAACTGAAAAAATCGTGGTTACGAACGTGCTAAAGCGAATGTACAAAAGCTGATTTTTGAATTCTTGTCAACAAACTCGCTAAAACGCAACGCAATATTTGCATTGATGATTATGATGATACCTTTATTAAAGTGTCAAAACTGTAATAGCGGTGTATGACCACTAAGTGGGGACACTAAAATAAGTTAAAAAAGAATAAATCAATTAATTAATTAATTAATTAACTAAAAATAAAAAAAGAAAGAATAAAAGAATTAAGAAATTAAGAAAAACTGTACAGTATAAGCAAATAAGAATTCGGGAGAACTATACACAGTATGTACAAATGTACCCATTATCTTATAAAAAATAAGAAATAAAAA